ATGCTTGTATGATATAGACTAAGAATCTGCGATGCCGATGCCTAGTGACATTGAGTTGGAGTTATTTGTTATAATAGCTTGAACCCGGTCGATGATTGAACCAGAGCGCCTTACATCTAACAAATAAAAATATTCCACTTCTGAATCGAACCAATGGTGTTTTCTCCTAAACTATCGTACACATCACAAATTTACCTATCAATATGAGCTGCGGTTTTTCCTTTGCGGGAATAAAAACAATTAAGAGATGAAACCTTTTGTAAAATTATGAGATCTGGTACGAAACTACCGAATAAAAACTTCTTAAAACCATTTTCAGAATGTGGTCATCGCAGGCCCTCTGCGTGTTTTTACTTATTTATCTAGACTTTCACGCATATTTTTTAAACTGCGGCTCTCTGCTTTTGTATGCATACAAGTCGGTATACTAAAATTCTTAAGCCGGAAACACACTTACCCGATGCTACGCCATGCGTCGCTACCCGATGCTACCCGACGCCTTGCCACGTTTTGGTGGGGTGTGCACATCTATCCGACGCAAGCACACGTCGCGTACAGTCCACAGCGTTTATCACAATAATCACTATCACAATCGCAACGCATCTTTTGTTCTTAATGCACTATTTTGAGCAAAACCTTGTAATAAATTGTTAGTTAAATTTTATGAGCACAACCATCTAATAAATTGTTTGTTAAACTTAATTGTTTTAAATAAAGTTACTCCTAACCATCATAATTAAACAATGTTTATAAAAACTTATGCATTTTTGATCTCGTTTAATTTGGTTTACATTAAAATAACATGTTGTAATTAATATAACGACAAAATTACATGTACTTAGTTTGAAATAAACTACAAAAAATATGAGTGTCCTGTTCTGATGCTACCCGACATTACAAAATGGTGTAATTTTACGAGCAAAACTATGAAATAAATTATTAATTAAATTTTATGAGCAAAACCGTGTAATAAATTGTTCCAATTTTAGTATATGTACCGCAGAAGCGAGTACAATAAATTGTTAGTTAAATTCATTATATCAAAAAATCGTTTTCCAGTGTTTTGATTAATTTTCTACCAAACCATTAAAATTAATTTTTTGAATAAAAACTAATTAATTTTTAATCACAGTTAATTTGGTTTATATTAAAATAAGTATGTTGTAATTAATATAACGATAGTTTGAATAAAAATATGAGTGTCCGGTTCTGTTGTCTTCGACTGTACTCGATGCTTCTCGACGAAAATCTGGGCAGTGGGGATCGCAGAGCGTCGGGGTAGGTTAGCGTGGCATAGCATCGGATGTGCACGGGGGTAATGTGCAACCTTATGGAAAATCGGAGTTTGGATTTGCGTCGGGTAGCATCGGGTAGCGTCGCATGGCGTAGCATCGGGTAAGTGTGTTTCTGGCTTTACGCCTCGTTTGTACCTCAGGTTGTCAACAATCAAATGGAAATAAATAAATAAAAGTATTTTTTTTTTCGATTTATCTAAGTTGAAGCTTCGGTTGAGTCGAGAGTTGCGAGTTAGTGACTTTGGCCTGTTGCTACTTCAAATTGATTTCTTGTATCAATCTTCTTAGAATTTGGTCAAAATATCCACAAAACCTTTATAAAACTAAAGAAATATCAAACGTCTAAAAAAACATTTAAAAAGATCTTTTTATTCGATTGATCCAAATTGAAGCCTCGGTTGAGTCGAGAGTTGTGTGTTAGCGACTTTGGTCTGTTGCTACTTCAAATTGAATTCTTGAATCAATCTTCTTACAATTTGGTCGAAATATCCACAAAACCTTTATAAAACTGTGCAAATATCAAAAGTTTAAAAAAACGCTATATATGTAGACAGATGTTTGCATCCGACGAACCTCCGAGCACCGCACTCGACAGGGACGCGAGCGGCACACCAAGTTCACTTCTATTTGTCAGTCCTGACGCTCCGCCCGGGAACCACCAAACCAGGGCACACAGAGCGGAAACCACGGTCGCCATCGAGGCCCCCGCCGAAGTCACCGCACCACGGCAAAATACTCGGAATCGCCCGGTGTCGGTAGTACTTGATATTCCTACGACACCGGTAACCAATCACTATTCGATACAAGTCTGGTTATATCCATTACCCCCGTACTTGATATTCTTTGGGGCGGGGTTGAACAACCCTTCCTTTCACGCTAATAAATTACATTCATTTCAATAAATTAACGTAAACACAACAGCCGATACATGGTCACATTTACTCCCCTATCCGGTGTTCCACGGATGTGGTCGAACTCACTCCATTCTCGCTAATAACTTACTACTACTTTCCAGATGTCACACACTCACCCCAGAGTATTCGTAATAATTCTAAATATGAGAGAAATAAAACCGAATTATTATTAAAAAAATAAAATAAATAAAAGGTAAAACGCTACGGACTTATTTTACAAGCCAATATTCCATTTAATCGGCTTTTAACAAAAAGAGGAAATCTATTTAAAATAAATCCGATTTGATTATTATAAGAAGCTTGAAATAAATTTCTCATAAAAAAAATAATATGCCACGGCCTACTCTTTATTTCACATTTCAGGCTGACTTTGTTTTTCAGATATGTTTTGGTGCTTAATTTTGATTATATTCCGTCCTTTTTGCGAACAGTTTAATATTTCCCTGCTCCAGTGTTAATTTAGGAAAGCTTAGTGTCTAAAAAAAACCTTATCTACTTCAAGCTAACAAAAATAAATAAAATAAAAAAAATAAAAAATAACAAAATAAAAAACAAATTGTATTTCAAGCTATCTAAAAAAGTTTAAAATCGCATATCAATCGAAGATCTCTATAATTTTTGCGTTCATTTTATTTTCCGATTCCACGGTTATTTCAAATTAACTGAATATTGAAAAATATCAAATTACAAGCTGTAGGACGTTCCAGTTGGTATCAAAAATTCAAATATACAGTGACTTAAGGAAAACAGTCGAAGTTTTATAGTCGTCCAGAAAGTCCACGACTAAACCACAAACCCAAAAAACAAAAAACAAAAAAACAAACAAAAAATCCAATGAGATCACTGAACAACAACAGTTCGATTAGAATATTGAAAAACCCTATAGAAAACAAGAATTAGACAATTTGTGTGTGGTTTTTTTATATTAAAATTAAATTATAATATCTGAGGCTTTATCAGGAAATTTATCGCCGGCTCGTTTCAATAAGAAAAAAATATTGCACTGAATTCAGATGGGTGTTTTTACTTTTGGAGCACTAGCAAACTAAGGAGGGCGAGTGGGGCAACTACTAGTACATAATAATGTTCAAAGGTCCTATATTTGTACTTGTAAGGGTCTAGGAAAAAGTAAAACATATTTAAACAACTCAACTTTCAAGCATAACGAAAAAGGTAAAGGGCCTGTGGGGTGAAAAATTCAAAGAAATACGATGGATAATACGTTGTAAGCGGGATATGGCAATGCAATAAATTAAATCATCGTTAATTATGAGGAGACTGGGATGACATCCGTTTTCCCTTCAGATTCAGTGCTACTCTTTAAACCCGCAGTTTTACATTTTATGCATGTTTATTTTCTTTCAAAACAATAGAAACAGGTCAAAAAAAAGTTTAAAGAAAAATATTGAAAGGGCCGAATAAAATTTATAGTGTGGTGTACCGCTCTGCCTCCATTGTTGCACTCATTCGTGTGTTTACCTATTAGAGGTCTTTCTGAGGTCGGCGGCATAGTCTCGGCCACCATGTTAAGGAAAAATGTAAGAGACAGAAGAACTGTCACATCTATGAACAAAATTAAAACAAATCAACCATTCCGCCCAGTACAAAGATCATCAAAGTCATCCTTAAGTCTATCGGTCTATTAAATAACCGACTTCATCTTTAAAATCTACTACTAGTTTACACTACACAACTATTCTATGCTATTTACGAAAAAACACAAAAAAATATTATTTTGTTTATCATTAAAAAAAAAACAAATTTTTTTATAACAATTTGAGAAAAATGATTGGTTTCATATTTATTAATTAATTATTGCTGCTATTGTGACAAAACCACACTTATCCGTGTTGGAACTGGTCGACAGGATGCATTGGCAGTTTTGCTTAAGTCAGAAGCCAAGGAAATGAAAATTAAAAGAACAAAACAAAACCAAAACAAAACAATGTTATTGTCCGACAGAACCAAACGAAAGGAAGAGATACTGGATCCAGTCAAATCAGCTGGGTATTCAACTGAGAGTGAATTTAGCAAGAAACAGAAATGGGAAGCAGGTGATGCCCAGCCGAGCAGTGACCAGCAAACAAATATAAATTAACAATAGCAACATTAAGAAAAGGGTAACTTATTTTGAAATAAAATTTCTACAAAGGTAATATCTAACAAGCTAAAAAAAAGTGATTTTACTCTAAAGGATTTGAGTCGAGTTACTTTGTTGATAGGTTGTTTGTTAAAGGATGTTTCAAGCTGGAACGTCCTCGGTTCTGTCACAGTACTGTGATATCTATTTACATGGCTCAATTTTTACAATAATAATAACAGCATCTACTAATCTATGTATAATTATTTATCAGTACCCTCTATTAACGCTAGAGAAATGATTCAATATTAGCGACAATGAAAAATCTAGTAATACTTTGTCCATTGGTCACTGGTTAACTGCGCCTTGAACGACAAAATCGTGTACATATTAAACATTTTAAAACATAAACATGCTAAAGTAGTAGCACAGTGAAAAGGGAAGTAACATTTAAATTGCTCCATATCAAATGCAAATTGGATAAACTTCTAATGTTCGTTTGTACTTTTGATACGGTCATAGTATAAAAATGTGTAATTAAACTTTTTACAGGATGATCGGACGATTACATGGGCTCACGAAACATTTCATGTGTAAATCCAATGGACGCATATTTAAAGCAAACAAATCAATGAAAAACAGATACAACAATAAATTTGTATTGGGTCTCGCCGCTCTGCCTCCAGTAGATGAGCTGATGGCATTTTTTACCTAGAAGGGGAACGGCGTCCGAGGTGGCTGGCATCGTCTCAGCTACCATGTTAAGAAACACAGTCAGCGACAACAGTATAGTCACCCCTAGACACACAACTCATTTCAGTACAGTACCATGCCAACAAATTGTAGACAACCGCGTTTAAATGGAAAAAAAAACTAAGAACAAAAGAAAAAGAACAAAAGAAGTCAAGATTCGAAGGCCTCAGCATATGTGGTCACCGCTCTCAGAGATTGTGTATGTTGTGTTTCATTTTTTTTTTGACAACATCCGTCTGTGTGCTTTGACTTAATCAGTACCTAGTGTTAGCTTTTCTCCACATTCGTGAGGAAGTGTAAATCCTAGTAGAGTCATAGAGGATATGATGATACAAGGCAGAATCAGGTTCACCGTATAGAAGAGCGTTCGCCTCGACAGTTGTATAGTGAATGTGATGTCGATATACGGTTGAGGGCAGCAAGAGTACTTCTTCAACTTTCTCGTCGCTGGCATACCTGTTAACATCTCATTACACAAAAACTGCCCCAGTTCTAACTCTACCGCCTTGTTCACAAATCACGCATATACATATACATTTTACATAAATTTTAACTGTCTTAGCCAACAATTTCTTGTGCTACGCCGAATTTGACAATACCAAAATACAACTGGACAAAGATCTCACGCATAACAAGCCTCGTCACCACGGGCAAACTATCACCTACATAGAATTAATAAAAAATATATTCTCATAAATAAACCAAAAAAAAAATTATATAAAATAAAAGTTCAAAGGCAACACCTTAAAAAAATAAAAATAAAAAATCACTCCTTCGTTCTACTCCAGACAATAACTCGTTCTTTCTCCAGCCATCCAGTGGCTGACCAGATCAACAAGCATGTTTTAAACTTGTATTCTTGTGTGTCATTCTCATGCCAAAACCCAACACCGCAATTGTCAAATCAGCAAATAAAACAATGAAAAATAATTAATGAGACAAATAACTAATAAAGAGAGGCTAAGGACGTGAGAAGTCCATTTGTAATGAAACATTTTTTGGTGAAACTTGGTCATAAAATTTTATAAACGTAATCGAGCGTTCTTGCCAATTCTAAGAGCCGAACAAAAATATTTTAAATAATCACAAATTATGTATTTAATTATCTACGATGACCCCTAGGCTGAGCTGCCTAATAAATTTGATGTAATAGCACGTAGTAGCAAAGTAGATGAAACTATTTTTTTAGTAAGAAACTTAATTGATATTAAATCCATTAGATTTCATGGTCCGATTGACTAAATAACTTCTTTCCATTAATTAATCTTTATGTAAGGTTCAAATAATTAAGATTTTAAGTTGAGACAAAAAGTCAGTGTCATGAGCGGGATTCGAACCCACGACCTTCGGCTTGATACGCCGGCACTCTACCACTTGAGCTATCGTGACTTCGATCCCCACGGGCACTAACTTCCCATCTCAACCCCATATTTTGAATTTTCCCTCCTTTTTGCCATTTTTCCAATGTCGTGTAATCTATTCGATCGACAAAATACCTTACATAAAGATTAATTAAGTGAAAGAGGTTATTTGGTCAATCGGACCACGAACTCTAATGAATTTAATAAGTAAAATGAAGTATGTCTTCACTAAAGCTCTCTGTGACTATTTCATTTGTGGACAAGAATCAAATAGATTACACGATATTTGAAAAATGACAAAAAGGAGGGAAAATTCTAAAGGTGGGTTGAGATGGAAAGTTGGTGCCCGAGGGGATCGAAGTCACGATAGCTCAAGTGCTAGAGTAGCGGCATATCAAGCCGAAGGTCGTGGGTTCGAATCCCGCTCGTGACACTGACTTTTTTGTCTCAACTTAAAACCTTAATTAATTGAATGTTATTAATTGGTCAGGCGGACCACGAAAAATAGTGAATTTATGTAAGGTATTGGTTGAAATAAAAAATAGCCAATTGAAAAATGGCAAAAAGGAGGGGAAATTCGAAAGGTGGGTTGAGATGGGAAGCTGGCGTCCGAGTGAATCGAAGTCACGATAGCTCTAGTGGTAGTGCAGGGTCGTGGGATAGCCGAAGGTCGTGGGTTCGAATCCCGCTCGTGACACTGACCTTTTTGTCTCAACTTAAAACCTTAATTAATTGAATGTTATTAATTGGTCAAGCGGACCACGAAAAATAGTGAATTTATGTAAGGTATTGGTTGAAATAAAAAATAGCCAATTGAAAAATGACAAAAAGGAGGGGAAATTCGAAAGGTGGGTTGAGATGGGAAGCTGGCGTCCGATTGGATCGAAGTCACGATAGCTCTAGTGGTAGTGCAGGGTCGTGGGGTAGCCGAAGGTCGTGGGTTCGAATCCCGCTCGTGACACTGGCTTTTTTATTTCGACCAATACCGTACATAAAGATTAAATTGGTTTTCTGCACCTCAAGAAACCCTTGAATACAATTTTTTGAGAAAGTACAATAAATATACTTCACCTTTCAAATACCGTCCGTTTTTCTTCTCTTTTTCATAAAAAAATCATATAGATATTGATAAATTTGAAACGACTCTCTACCCACTCAAAGGAAACTTTACAAGGTTTTAGGACTTAATTATACGAAATAGCGCAAATTTGGTTTCATTAAATAAATTACAATTTGAGACGTAAAATTAAATATTTGAAGAGTTTGTGTTATTTTAATCCTTACTTTTTTTTTTTTTACTTATAGTGACATAAAATCTAAACCTTCTTTCCTCTCATAGCAGGAGAAACATCCGTTTTCTAACAACTGTAAAAAACTTGAATTTGTAAAAAATCCAGAGGTGTTATGAATTGTTAAGTATGAAACATAAGACATCAGAAAAAAATTGCCCACTACAAGAATTAACCAGCACAAAAAAATCTCTATTTTTTATTCCTTTAATTAATACTTAAAACAAATCAGAATTGTTAAAAAATATGGCTAACTTTACAAGAAATGTTTTTTTCATTTTTGTTACTTTTTATAAATTTAATCTCATTTAATACGATACTACTTATTATTCTCCTTGTCCTACATAAAAGCATATATTGACTGATGTATAAAAACCTTGAAATACATTCACAACAAAGACAGAAAGTCATATTAAAAATATTTAAATTACTTTTTAAAAAATATGGATCCTAAGGCTAAAGAACGCTAGGACACGTGTCTCATATTTTTGAACAAAGTATTACACAATAAAAAGTTTCATTAAAATCTTTGATCCCACGTCTGTGATGGACAATAAAGTATAATTAAATAATAGATATTTTCATACACTTCAATTTTTTTGTGGTTCAAGTGAAACGTCATTGGCATAGGTTAACATTTTTAAGTATTTAACTTGATTTTCACAATTTGTTACTTAACCCGCAACCACAAATTTATTGTCTTATTTATTTAATAATCCTTCTTCTTTCTTTGATATTTAATTTCGTCTAATTGGGCTAACCAAGCACAAAATGATTTATTTTTTGATTACTATAAAAATTTAAAGGCTTTAAACGAATCCGTCTTTTTTTTTCAAAAATATATATTTTTTTGGCCTACTTTACTGGTAACATCTTTAGGTTTTTATAACGTTTTATAAATAGAATCTCATTTCATACCGTCTTCCTCATATTGTTATTCAACACAAAAAACAAAGCAATTTGTCGTACATAATAATTTTGGAATACCCAAAAAACGCAGAAATAAATTAGAATCGGAGATATGAAATAAAACGTTTATGAGCTGTTGTGATTTTATTTTTATTTTTATCCCTTTTAGTGTAATAAAATCTGAACGTTGTTGCCATAAACGGAAAGTAGATACATTCAGCTTTCAATTGTAATGCCATTGGATTTGGATAAAATCCAAAGGAGCTAAGAATTTTTATGTCTGGAGATGCCGGACATCGGATAGAACAAAATTAGCCCCAGCTCAATCCAAATAATTTTTTTTCGAAAATCACAAAATTAGTCATAAACGACTAAACCGACATTTCATCATTATTTTTCTAAATTATATCGACATAAAATGTAAACCTTATCCTATAGTCTAAAAACACGTACATTCCACTTTTTAACGGCTTTAATAGTATTGAATTTGGTTAAAATTCAAAGAGTTATTAAGTTTTATGTCTGGAACAGCAAAGCAACAGAAATAAAAATTGCGCCCTGCTGGCTAATTCGTATTTTTTTAACTTACAATGACTTAAACATAAACCTTTCTAAACCGTTATAGTAACATTAAGTCCGGATGGATAAGCCCGTCCAAAATTTTCTAGATTTATTGTGGTTATAAAAATTCGTATTTAAGAGCTTTAATAACATTATTTATACAACCCTGCATATAATTTTCTTATATCAACTGATATACAATAACCTTGAAATATACACTCAGCAAAGTCAGAAGGGGCGTCGGTGGCCGCAACGGTTTAGGCGTTGACACGGCGCTCATCACTGTAAGGTAAAGGTCCCGGGTTCGAATCCAGCGGCCCTGCATTCGAACCCGGCGTACTTACAAATGGGCTTTTTTCAAAAACACCGACACCCCGAGGCATATGACCTCTGCTGTTCCAGACCCTCGTTAAAAAAAGAAAAAAAAAAGCAGAAATCCGTATTAAAAAATAGATATGTATGGGGCACTTGCAAAGAAAGCTCGGACGCGTGTCTAATACGTTTCAAACCAAGTATTCAAAAAAATTACCTCATCGTTACAACGAAAAAAATTCTAAAAAGCAGGTGAAGTTCGTTGGTGCAGGATGTGTTATTGGTTTTTAATAACGCTTTTTGTAGTTTCTCATTCAATTGATCGTGTTTATTTAAATGAGAACGATTTTGTTGAAACATGGCGTTGAAAAAGAGTGATTTTTTATGTTTAACAAAAGAAAAATTTCTGAGGAGTAGTAGGCCCGCGGAATGTTACAACATAAATATATGATATTGAGGGGCATCGGTGGCCGCAACGGTTTAGGCGTTGACACGGCGCTCATCACTGAAAGGTAAAGGTCCCGGGTTCGAATCCACCGGCCCTGCATTCGAACCTGACATATTTACACCGGCAGCCCCGAGGGTTGATATAACCATATATATATGTGTATAC